CCAAACTAGATTGCCCAAAGGGCATCCAGATGGGATGGGTGCTGGCCAACCAGCCTGGCCAGACACCTGCCTGCCACACAAAATCCTCTCTGGTACTCAAAAACCCTCCTGACACCTCTTGGCTTCGTGACTCATCCTTACAGCTTCACCCACAAAAATCTGATGGGGGAAAATGAAGAAACTGTGATTTTTCTAAACCCTCCTTGATAACGTTCCCTGAGCCATCACTGCTCTGTATTTCACCAGAGGGCACCTGAGAAGGTGGGAAAGGACATTCCAGGGGATCCCAGCCCTGAGGGCTCCCACTGATCCTGCCCTGCTCCAGTTGGAACTCACTGTTTCTCCTGGGGGAATTGCACCCTGTGACTCTGAGTGCCCAGCACAGCAAAGCTGTAAAACCCCCTCAGTTTCTCACAACCCACAGCAAGGTTAAAATTACCCCAGAATTTCCAGACTCTTGTCGAGAGCGAGAGTTCCCCACATCCACCCTGAGGGCAGAGCCACCCAGGGTGGGCACAGAGGGTTTGTTTCCCCACCATTCAGCCTGATCTTGGTCTCATGCCTGATCTCAGCCCCACAAAAAAGGGACCCAGCCCCATCAGTGGCTGTGGGCAGGAAAGAGGTATCGAGCAGATACCAGAGGTGCTCCTCAGGAGGAACCCAGGAGATTCCCCCTCTCCCAGGAGAGATTTCTGCTGTGTCCTGCCCAATGGAATGGAACCCTCTCTCCTTTCTGATCCCATCCCCACGTAATTGAGCTCTTTCTTGGCCATCACTCCACAAGAGTTGGTCCCCACAGCCACAAGTGGGTTGAGGGAATTAAGATGCCCATGGAGCAGGGCTGTGCTGGGGGCTCTGACCCTCCATGCTGCAGCCACAACCCACACTCCAGGCTTCCCCCAGCCTGGTTTTGGGTTCAGCTCAGCCACCATTGCTCCTTCCCTTCCCAGGGATGATGTTGTGTAGGACCTGGACATTGGGCAGGGCAGGTGCTCACCCTTCTCCTGAGCTGCACCAGCAATGAACCTCCCTCCAACCACCACCTTCTCTCACTTTCCCCCACCTTTTCCACCTCCTGCTCGGTGGTGAACCCCAGAGACCACCTTCCCCACCTTCCCCACCTTCCCCACCTTCCCCACCTTCCCCACCTTCCCCACCACGAGCCTCCTTCCTGCTTGCCCTCCTTGCCCTTGCTGCTCACACCACAAGTTTCCCGTTCATTTTTCCCTTCCTGGCCTTAAATGCAAGCAAGGGGTCCCTTCCCTTCTCTGTGATGGTGTTCACAGGGGTCTGAGGATGAGGGAAGAGATGAGGATCTGACTCCATGTTTCA